GTCACGAGCCGTGTTTCCTGCCAGTTCCAGGATCTCAGTGGTCAGGCACTCGAGCCCAGCTGGCAGGTAGATGAGAATGCATCCACAGAACATCCTTTTCAATTCATTTGAGATTTGGAGCTGTAGTTGAGATATTATTTGAGCTTTTGCGATGTTAATCAGCTGCTGGTTGTAGAAAACTGCCTTGTTGCCATGGTTACGCATCATAACAAATGGCCAAAACTAAAAAAGTTTAAGTAAAAATCCTTCCAGCTGCACAGCATCTGATACCAAATGAAACAGTCATCCAAAAAAATGTGATTTACATCCAGAAAAAGAGGAATTAAAGTTTCCAAAAGCAAAATCTCAGAATGAAAGTAACAGAGCTGCTCCAACATGCAGCCACCTAGAGCGGCGCAATTCTAGAACAACGTATTTAAGTACGTACATAAGTAAGTACGTATGTAAGTACGTAAGTAAGTACGTAAGAAAGAAAATATGTACGTAAGTAAGAAAGTAAGTATGTACGCAAGTATGTAAGTAAGTAAGTAAGTAAGTAAATGGACTGTAAATGGACTGTACTTATATAGCGCCTTTCTATCTTATTTCAAGATACTCAAAGCGCTTTACACTACAATCTGTGTCCTCATTTACCCGTTCATAAAGCACGCTACTAGATCTCTACAAAGCTAATTGAACAAATCATTCTAAAGAGACTAATCAGTGATTTATCACATTCATACACCGATGGGACACACATCGAAGGCTATGAGGGGTTCAGTGTCTTGCCCAGGGACACTTCAGCATGTGACTGCTGGTGGATTCGAACCCCCAACTCTCGCATTGGAGGACGACTGCTCTAACCACTCAGCCAGTACGTAAGTATGTAAGTATGCAAGGATGTAAGTAAGTAAGTAAGTAAGTATGTACTGTAGTGTGTCAAGGTCAGCTTTGCTGTACCTTCACTACTAATTATTTAAATATAACGGGTTCTTTCTTTTTCGAGTTAAATTAATGCCATGTGACGAGGTAACTGTGAGGATTGTTTAATCAGTGACAAGAGACGTTAATTTAACTTTGACCCATCAGAATAAATGTGGTCATTTATTTAACAGAATCAAAATTTAACATCAAAGCATGTACACGTGATTAGCTGATCTGGTTCTGATTAATAAAACTTGGCACGCTTTACTAATAAGACAAGACATTTCTGAAGGCATCTAGATTACTGGCAAAATAGAAGAGTTGAAAGGAAGGATGGGTGAAGAGTATGTTGTTGACCAGGGGGGCACGCTTCTTTCAATCACCAGCTCAAACCTCCTGTACACTTAGCGCGTCACGACTCGTTACCTTCGCAGGAGATAAATCAGCTCTGGTGTCGGGTCCATTTCAACGCTACCTTCCGGCGTCTCTGGTAAGAGCGGCTGGTCATCGTCAGAAATCGTGTCGATTTACTCCGTTCAACAAACAGGCTCAGCTTCCTTCGAAGTTGGAGGCATTACACCCGGGTGGATTCACAGCAAGCATCTGTGAGTCCGTCAGAGTTTCCACTCAGGAGTGGAAGACTCCCGAAGGCTTAAGAAGACTCCATCGAAGACTGAGTTCAACTCAGATCCAAGACTTCAGAAGAACGGAGTAGACTCCAGAAGACCCAGTAGACTCAGTAGAACTCGCTAGTTCCAGGAAGTGTCGACTTTTAGAAGCGTTCTCACTTCCGGTCACTTAGGACTTCCTGATTGGTTCAAACAACCAACAGGGGGTGGTTCTAGTGATGTCAGAGGGTTATTAAAAGTCAACAGAGAATTCAGGAATGTTTAGGAACGTTTAGTACAGACAGAGAAATGTTTTTGAAGAAGTGAGAGGAAGCAGGTGCCAGTTGCTTCTTTTTTACTGTCTGCTAGGTTTAAAACAATACAGCCAGTTCTAATAACTTCTTTCTGACTGTCTCTGACTTTTGACCGACACCACTACTTCTCCTTTAGACAGAAAATCAAAATGCATAATTACTTTGTTAATAGACATTTAACTTGATTTCTAATTTAAATGAGGATTAAAAAAAATCAATACTGTTTCACAGTTGATTTAAAATGAGTGGTTCACTTCAACTTTAGAAATGATATGAACTAAACACACTTTGATTATCAAGATATTGTAAAATAATAATGATAATATAAAAGAAGAGTGTTCTACTTCAGGATACAATTAGACAGTCTCTGGATGAGCTAATTTGTATTTCTGGATTTAAATCAATGAAATAACAGTTCCTGTCCCATGAAGGTCTTCAGAGGCAGGTTTTGGTCGGAGGCCTAGTTCACTACAGTACGCAAGTACGTAAGTAAGTAAGTAAGTAATAAGTAAGTACGTAAGTAAGTAAGTACGTAAGTAAGTACGTAAGTACATAAGTAAGTACATAGGTAAGTAATCCATCCATCCATCCATCCATCTAAACGGGAAGATGATATTTAGTCCAGATTAAGCCCAAAATAAAAAAATCTTTGGGATTAATTTTAAAGTATTTAACTAGGATTTTTTTTGTGACAAACCAACACAAAGTCATATATTTTTGTGAAGTGGAAGGAAAATGAAGCCTGTTTGTTTCTGTTTTTGTAAAAAATATAAATAAATCTGAATGTACCCATCAACTCTGAGCAGCCTTCCTGAGCATGATGCTGCCCCACCATGGCTCAGTGGTGATGTGTTCAGGGTGATGTGCAGTGCTGGTTTTATGCCACAGAGTTCTTAATTTAGGTCAGCAACTTCAAGTTTGGTCTCATCAGTACAAAGGAACCTTTTCCACACGCTTGCCATGTCCCTATAAGGCTTGTGCAAATGAAACTTCTTCTACGATGGCTTTTTGTCTTCCTGCCACACTTCCATGAAGACCAGGTGTCCTGTGGACAGACTGTCCCACCTGAGCTGTGGATCTCTGCAGCTCCTTCAGCATTACCACAGGCTCCTTGGCTCCATCTCCAGCCTGTCTGGCCTTTAGGTGGACACCGTGTCTTGAAGGGTTTGAGGTTGTGCTACTCTTTCCACTTTCAGGTGATGGAGTGAACAGAGGATCTGTGAGATGTTCAAAGCTTGAGATTATGTTTTCAGATCCAACCCTCAACAACTTGATTCCTGACCTTTCTGCTGTGTTCCTCTGTCTTCTTCGTTGCTTCATTCTTTATGTTGATGTACACATCGGGCACACATTTCTTGGAGTAACGTTGTCTTATGAACATCATTTGCATTCTGTCAAAACTTGGAGCAGAAATTTATTCACACATTTCCTACATCTTAAACAGAAACTGGTCCCGAGTGCCACAAATGATGTAAAACTCAACAAGTTATTCCCAAACTTCATGCCAAAGCAATACTGAAGCAAATTTACAAAGAAATAAATACAAAAGAGCAAGCAAGCACATCAAACAAGAACATAAAGGTAGGATGGAAGTGATGATGTTTTTAATTGTTTGACTGATGAAGGTCAGGCAGGAATCCCAGAGGACTATGATGCTTCCAGATGATGTGATCTGTGGTGAGAACAGGGAACAGGTGGAGGAGAACTTGGAGAGGTGGAGGTATGCACTTGAAAGAAGAGGAATGAAAGTCAGTCGTAGTAAGACACACATTCACATGTGTGTGAATGAGAGGGAGGAGGTGGAACAGTGAGGCTACAAGGAGCAGAGGTCACAAAGGTGCAGGACTTCAAGTACTTGGGGTCCACTGTCCAGGAAAATGGGGAATGTGGTAAAAGAGATGAAAAGGAGAGTCCAGGCAGGATGGAGTGGATGGAGAAAAGTTTCAGGAGTGATTTGTGACAAAGAGTGTCAGCAAAGGTCAAAGGAAAAGTTCACAAGACAGTGGTGAGACCAGCTGTGTTGTGTGGTCTGGAGACAGAGACATGGACAAAAAGACAGCAGAAAAAACAGGAAATGGCAGAAATGAAGATGTTGAGGTTCTCCTTAGGAGTGACAAGGATGGATAAGATTAGGAATGAGATAATGAGAGGTACAGCACAGGTTGAAGGGAAGAGAAGGGAAGTCTGAGATTGTCATCATTGTATGTTCCCATACAATGGCGAAATTAGTCTCTGCATTTGACCCATCGCACCTGGGATACACCCAGGTGGAGTGGTGGGCAGCTATGTAATGAGGCCCGGGGAGTAATGAGGGATTAAGTGTCTTGCTCAGAGATCCCATGACATGTGGGAATGGCTGGGGATTAAACCTGGGACTTTCTGGTCCCAGGTCGGCTGCTCTACCTCTACCCCATCTCAGCCCCAACAACTGAACAACAGGGAGATGCAGTTAGAGAGACCAGACTGAGATGGTTTGGACATGTCCAGAGGAGGGACAGTGGGTATACTGGTAGAAGGATGTTAGAAATGCAGCAGCCAGGAAAAATACAAAGAGGAGATATATGGATGCAGTTAGAGAGGACATGGAGGTAGTTGGAGTGAGGACAGAGTGAGATGGAGGAGATGACTCGCTGTGGAGACTCCTGAAGAGGGAAGATTTAGAAGAAGAAGAAAACTAAGATGATGGCTGATGAAGGTCTAATTACAAAAGAGTTGCAAATAAATTCCTGCTTCAGGTTTTGAGGGTGTGCAGGAGTTATTGTTGCTACACACTGGTTTTGAGTAATGACGGTGTTAAGTATTTTTCTTGATTTGTATTTTTTTAATGGCTCAATGGTTTGGATAATTTCACAAAAGTTATACACTTCATCAAACAGTAACATCCTAACTCTTTGAAAATGAAAAGAGCAAGAAGCTGTGGTTACTTTTGACTTTTATCGTTTCGCTCTGAAAGGAACAGTAATCTTCAGTAGAAACCCTCATGAACTGTTTTGAGTGCTTAAAAAATGTTTATTTAACGTGGTCTGAAATAGTTTGAAACTTTGAAATGCCCTCACAAAACAAACGTGCGCTGTGCAGATTTTCTTTAGAAGTCCTTCTGACAGCGCACTGCTCTTCCTCTGCCTGTGAAAAGATGTGCACTGAATAAGTGCGTGTGATGAGACAAGTGTCCAACCTCGTTTCTGAGGTCCACGATCTGGTCCCGGAGCTGGCCGATGTACTGTCTGGAGTCTGAGTGGTTCAGCTGACCCTGGATCAGCCCTTCCTCCTTCTAAAAGCACAGTTGCATGCTGGGATAAGGTTGATGGTCATTATATTTGTACATTAACTGGTCATGTCTAAACACACACCTGTATCTCGAGTTCGGCGACCTTCTGCCTGAGCTCAGCCATGACAGCCATGGTGTCCGCCTCCCTCAGCCTCACCGCCATCACCTCCTCTTTACTCTAACATGCATGATGGGAAAGGAAGGAAGTGAGTCGAGACATAAGGACAGGAAAGAGTTGAACACTGACCACATCACAAACTGAATTTCTATTATGGACGGTGGAGACGCGTCAGACATCGTCTCTGTCCATCCTCTGAAACAAATAAAGTTTAGTCCTCTGCTTCTAGATCCACGCCTCCATATTTTCATTTGATCATCTTTGGAGAACACAAACCTTAGGACAAAAATATACAGCATCTAACTTCTACCTGGTTTTTATCCCATCACGTGCATTTTTGTTTTCCTCCGGGTGTACCGTCACATCGCATCAGATCCATCTGTCTGTCCTCACCTTGCAGTCCGACTCTGCCTGCTTCCTTTTCATCTCGTTGATCTGGGTCTGCAGAGCTTTGTTCTGGTTGGCCAACATCTGGATTCGATCCTGCAGGGCAGAGCGTTCCTGCTCGTGACGACCAATTAGTTTGCCGTGGATTTGGTTCTAGAGTGAATAAAGAGATAGTAAGAACAGACCTGGAGCTGCAGTCAAATATTAATATTTAATTTATACTGAACACAAATATAAATGCAAAACTTTAGTTTTTGATCACATTTTTCATGAGATGAACTGAAGAATCCAAGACTTCTTCTATCTACACAAAAAGTCTTTTTCTCTCAAATATTGTTCACTTTCAAAAACGTTGTGTCTGCTTTAGGCCTGCAGCGTTTTTGTCCCTCCACATATTCAATTAGTTCAAAGACCTGACACAGAAGGTGACACGAGTGTCAGGTTTTAGTTTTTGTGTCAGCAGCTAATAATTTGGATATTTGTTTGTTGTTGTAAACTAACAGCTCTCGGCCAGTCAAACTGTGACGTCTTTGACTTTTTTTTTATGCAATAAAGGAAAGAGAAACAAACTGCGTCTTTGTGACAGACTGGATCAGCCAAATGTGTAAAGATCTCATTTAGACAAATTATCTGTAAAGTCGTTTACGTGCAGAAACAAGACTAGTGTAAAGTGTCTTATAATATTTAGAACATAGTCAGGTACTGAACAAACCTGAAAATGAGTGATAAAGCAGGAAGGTTTATAAAAACAAACTTTTGCACATTATTGAATGTATGATGTGCTACAAAAACCAAAAAGATTTGCTCTAACATGAGATATTTGATCATAAACTAAACATCCTGACAGAATCTGTGAGAAGACTCAGTGTGGCAGGGTGTGGAGGTCTGACCTGGCTCTCCAGCTGCACAGCTTTGAGTTTGACCTCTCGGAGCTCAGCCTGGGCCTGCGCCTCCCTCAGCCGGACGCTCATCAGTTTGTCCTGCAACTCGTTCAAAGCATTCTTCTTCGGGGATTCCTTCCAGTGGCCTCCTCCGTTGCCTGTGCTGCTGCCTCGGGACATATGATGCTGCAGCAGCAAAGAACAACGTTAAACTCTCCTGTGGTCCCGCTGGTAAAACACGACTGTGTCTAAAAAGAAAGGGTCAAGCAGAGAAACGTCAGGTTTGTGTGCTTCACCTGCCAGCGTTGGTTGAGCTCTGCAACACTGTCCTGCATCTCTCTGAAGGAGCGCAGCGTCTCCAGCTCCCTCAGCTTCATCTGCTTCACCTCCTCCTGCAGCGCAGCCACGTTGTTCTCATCGGGCAGGCAGCTGCTTCTCTGCATGTTCAGGTTTGCAGCACAAGCAAGGCAATCAGGCAAACAATGAATCTCTGTGGCTTCATGAGCAAGGCAGTCATGGACGCTGAGGCCAGTCAATGACTGATACACATCAAGGACATTGTTGGGTGAATTTAAAATGAAAATTCAGATGGTGGTGTTGCAACTGTCAGTGGACATCTGAAGTGTAAACACTCGATAAAAGTTTTTCTGTTGCAGCAAATGAGAACATGACATATAATTTCAAAGAGTTTTCTAAGTTTAATGTAATAAATGTCCATACAATTCCATATAAAAGTAAACTCCTTTGTTAGGAAGAAAAATTTTAACTTTTTCTAATAACTGTCCACTCTTCCTCACTAAACTTCCTCCATATGTCAGATTTTAAGGACATCTAAGATGTTCAAACAGATTTAAGTCTGAATTTTAGTTTTCTTAAAATGTCACAGTGGTTTATTAAACTTTCCATACTGTTTTCTTGAAACATATTTGTTTTTTTCATGTTCAATTGAACTGTAAAATGTATAAATGTGGAACATTTTTAAAATCATTTATTATGATCTTATTTTTTTACATCACAAAAACCTGTCACTTTAACAGGACAAATTATAAATAGTAGCTTGGCAAGTGGACAGGTACCAGCTAGTTTTAAACATGCAATGGTGACACCACTGATTAAAAAGCCTGGCCTGGACTCCGCAGAACTGTCATATTTTAGGCCAATTTCAAAACTGCCCTTCGTGTCGAAGATCTTGGAGAAAATTGTGTACAGCCAGCTGACATACTGAAAAGAGTACAACCTTCTTGAACTGTTTCAGTCTGGGTTTAAAACTCACCATAGTGCTAAGTCAGTACTGTTGAAAGTTTTTAACAACATTCTCTTAGCCACAGACTCTGGTCACTGTGCAGTTTTGATGGTGCTGGACCTAACTGCTGCCTTCGACACGGTGGAACATGACATCCTCCTGTCCTGTCTGGAGAACTGGGTGGGCATTCAGGGTCCTGCTCTACAGTGGTTTAAATCCTATTTAACAGAGAGAAGCTTTTGTGTGCATATTGGTACTGCGGAGTCCTCTGTAGAGCTTCTCACTTGCAGAGTACCTCAGGGGTCTATACTTGGCCCCCTTCTGTTTTCCCTTTATTTACTACCTCTGGGATATATTCTCAGGAAACATGACATTTCTTACCATTTGTATGCCGATGACAGCCAAATTTATGTGCCATTAAAACAAGATAAACAGTAGTCCATGAACCAAACTCCTAGAATGTATGGCAGAAGTCAGAGCATGGATGTCACATACCTTTTTACATTTTAATAAGAAAAATATTGAGGTCTTGAAGTTTAAGCCCAGTGATGGTTCCAAAGTCCATGCTGACCTGGATCCTTTAACAAAACATCTGACTGAGACAGCAACTAACCTGGATGTGAGGCTGGACAATGATTTTAAACTAGATGCACAGGCTAAATCAGCGATCAAGTCCAGCTTTTATTATTTGAGACAACTGACCAAGGTCAAACCATTTCTGTCACATCATTTTGAAGTTTTAATCCACACTTTCATTGCAACTCATCTGGACTACTGTAAGTCACTTTATGTCAGTTTGAGCCAGTCATTACTTCAGCTGGTTCAGAACGCTGCTGCTCGCCTTTTATCTGGTACCAGAAAATGAGAGCACATCACTTCTGTTTTAAAATCACTACACTGGCTCCCAGTTAGTTTCCGGATTAATTTTAAGGTTCTTTTATTTGTTTTCAAATGTCTTCATGGTCTCGCTCCACAGTATCTGTCCGACCTTCTCCAGCCGTACGTTCCTTCACGCTCTCTGAGGTCAGCAGATCAGCTGCTGTTGGCCGTCCCAAAGTCCAACAGGAGGCTGAGAGGTGACCGAGCGTTCTCAGTCGCTGCCCCTAAACTGTGGAACGAGCTGCCTTTGCACGTCAGACAAGCTGACTCACTTCCTGTTTTTAAATCTTCTCTGAAGGCACATTTTTTTTCCTCTTGGGTTTTAACTCAGCTTGAAATGTTAGTTTTACTGTTTTTAAGTTGTTTTATTGTTTTGTACGGTTTGCTGTTTTATGATTTTGGCAGTTCATTGCTTTTAAGGCATCTTTTAATTTTATGGTTTTTATGCTTGTTTGTGTTAATGTACAGCACTTTGGCCAACAGTGTTGTTTTTAAAGTGCTTTATAAATAAAGTTGTGTTGCATTGTATATTTTTGTTAATTAATGAAGCATTAGCATGGCTGTCCAAATGGAAAACAAACTAAAAACAAGCTACTGACATTGTCATTAATTTGTCTCCTTATTCCAACAAAGATTGGAGATCTTGTCAAATGCAAATAAAAACTACAGAACACAACAATTTGCTAATTTCGTAAACCATATTTTACTCAAAATATATAACATTGTAAATATTTAAACTAAGAATTTGCACCATTTAAAAAAAAAAACTAGCTAATTTTGAACTTATAGCAACAAAACATATTTAAAAATGTTGGGATGGGGTCATGCTTCTACTGTGAAGCTGTAGATGAACTGGGGGAGGGAAACGGTCAAGCTGAAGGACGGTTGAGGGCTCTCGGCAGGCTAAGCGAGCTCCAGCCCTGGCTGCTGCTGAGGACGTCTTCCTCATAATGGGAGCATATATTTTTCTAAAACCGGTATATATTTTTCTGCCTTGATGGTGCCTTTCCAGATGTGTAAGCTGCCCATGGCAGGCACTCCCCATAATGTCAAAGTGGCAAGTTTTAAACTGTGCTCCGACATCTGACACAGATCCTTCTGAGAGATTCAGTCTCTCTAAAATACTATTTCTATACCAAGTTGTCTTCTTAACCTGTTGTCAATGATCTTAATTAGCTGTAAATTTCTCCTCCAGGATGCTTACTTTCACAGCCTTTTGTTGCCCCAGTACCAACCTTTCTCGGTGTGATAATGTCAAAAAATAAATTTTAAAAATAATAATATTTTTTTCATGGCACAATTTCCTATTTTTATTTTAACCTATTTTTCCACAATGTCCCAACTTGGTGAATTTTCCAAAAACAACCACAACTCTTACAGAATAAGACTGAGTCAAACTAAACAAAACATATTTTCATACTTTTCTAACAGAGCACTTCAGACTGAAGGTTTACTTGTGGTTCCTAGAGTTTCTAAAAGCAGAATGGGAGGAAGATCTTTCAGTTATCAGGCTCCTCTCTTGTGGAACCAACTTCCAGTTTCTGTCCATGAGGCTGACACATTGTCCAGTTTTAAGACTGGGCTCAAGTCTTTCCTTTTTGATAAATCCTATAGTTAGGGTTGGCTTGGGCTTTTTTGTGAATGTTTTTGTACAACTTCTGTCAAGAATTGGTGCTATAGAAATAAACTGAACTGAATCATCCTCCGCCCCAGAATTGAGAAGTCGGTTCAGTCAGAAGTCAAGTGGTGGACTGATGCACTGTCAGACCAACAAGCGCTGTTCACTGTGGTTACACACCAGAAATGTCTACACACAAAGTAGCTGTCACTGTGCTCTTACATTAAAAACAGCAGAATCAGCATTTAAAGAAACAAAAAAGCAAGAACATCTGTAACATATTTACAGATGCACATTGTGCTTTGTTTTTGCTCAGTGTTAAACCTCTGTCCGGTGTAAAACAGTGAAACGTCGGTGTGTCAGCGCACCTTTTCCAGGTCGAGCACCTTGTCTTGCATCTCCTTCAGCGCTCCAAGCAGTTCGGCCTCACGCAGCCGGGACTGCTCCAGCTGGGTCTGCAGGTTGTTCACAAACTGCTCCGTGTACTGAAAACAAACACAACCATGTTATACGTGTCCATTTTGTTGATTAGCTTCATGTAAAAGTTGTGGTTTTTCTTTCATATGCAGAACTAACTGCTGGTGTCAGGACCAGCGGTGCAGATCAGTACATTTACCGCAGCGTTTGGGTGTGAATTCTGCCACATGTCTGTTTCTTTTAATTTCCTCTAGAGAAAAGAAGAAGCATCTACTATTGCATATCTTAGACCATTTTCCCCACAAAAAACAAAAAACAAAATAGTTTTTCTAAAAAAGTTAAGTCAGATCCTTTGGACGGATTCTTCTTTGTTGAAACATTTCGTCTTTAATCTAAAAGACTTCTTCAGTCTGAGGAGCTGCAACAAACTCAGTCTTATAAATAGAACCTTCTCATAGTGGATCAACTACTGTAGTTTGCTGGTGACATCCAAAAGTAGCTGTTCACATGATAAAGTAGGACCATCAGCCTAATGACTGATCGTTAGTGCCCTGATGGTCACTTGCTATTCACAGAGGGCTGAGCGATACTAGCAATAATAGGAGCAAAGTCCTCCGTGCCCCGTTGAACACGGAGGCTCCGCCCCATTTAATGATGGATGGTTTCTCTTCACAAAGATGGCTTCCTTCACTCCTCTCTCAAACAGAACAGTTGTTAAGATACAGTTGGGTAACGTTAAATTTAAACCGTGGCTCCAACTTACCAAGAAATATTACACGTGTGTTAAAAAAGGAAATTAAAGTATCAGCTGTCCCCTGCTAAAACACAAAGATCTCATGCTGCTGATTATCTTATGCTGCTGCTTATCTCATGCTGCTGATTATCTCAAGCTGCTGCTTATCTCATGCTGCTGCTTCTCATGATGCTGATTATCTCAAGCTGCTGATTATCTTATGCTGCTGATTACCTCAAGCTGCTGATTATCTCATGCTGCTGATTATCTCATGCTGCTGTATTCATTCATACCTATCTGCTCACCACAGATTCATGTTCGAGCTGCTGTTGTTACACCATATTATTTTACATTAGTGTTTATCAGATCTTTTAGCGTACTGTTTGGTGTTTGTTTAGCATATATCCTAATGTATATCTTGATCCTGATTTACTGTTTCTTTTTATACTTTATATTTTTGCTATTTTTGGGTGTAACTGGGACCCTGTGTACATAATTTCATTCCATCTAATGTACCACATGTGATGGAAGCGGCAACAAAGTTGACTTGAACTTGAACTAAAACGACGTGAGTTACAAACACACTAATGTTATCTTTTCTTAAAATCTGTGTTAGATTTGTAGCTAATCAACATGCACACACCCAAATAAATCAACTTGTATTTTAGCTGCCCTTGAGTCAGAGCCATGTCAGAGAACAGAAAGCCACGGCAGATTTTCTGGTCACCACATCAAGGTGAAACTACAAAGCTGAGAGTGCGAAAGTAGCAGAAAAACAGAGCAGAGTGGAAAAAACGCTTTCCTGTGAGCTCAAATATAAACACATTATATTAGGCTAGGACATAGTGTGAGTAAAACATTCTCGATGTGTCATTTTGTGCTTTTCGTCTGTTGTTATTAGAGATGACTGAGTGAGTGAACCCTGCAGGGTAAAGGTTGCCAGCAACCTGAGCTGGAACAAAACGCTGCAGTCACATGTCATCGTTCAGGATGAAATCACCCACTGCCTGTGTGTTTCTGTTGGAGTGAAGTACTCAGTCAACATGGTTTACTGTTGCACTTGCTCTTTACACCATCTTCTCAAACATCTGCTAAATTTACACTGAAAACAACAACGTGGTTAACAACACGGCCTCTGGTCTTTGTTTGGCGACAGCTGTAAAGACTATGAAGACAAACTAATGAGCCTAACAGTTGGTAATAGATGTAAAACAAACGAAAAGTTCAATTTTCTCATGAGAAACACTTATGTGGTACTATGTACTAACAAGTCATATGTACATGTTCCTAGGGATTTAAACAACTTCCATGGTCCTGATCTTAAATATATGAATAAAGCTGATTAACAGAATGTTCTGAGAACAGAAATGAGTCCTGAATGCACCGCTATTAGTGAAACTCAAACTAATTATTTAATTCATTAAGAAGTATATTTTTTACGGCTGTGTACTTGAGATGGAACTTTATACTTTATGATGTATTGTTGCGAAGTTTTAATTAGAGCCCAACCGATATGGAGATTTTGGTTCTTGCCAATACAGGTGGGGGGAATTTGATGTTCATAACTGAAATAATAACTTTAAACATTTGATAATCCACCCCCAATAATCGCTAAACAGCTACTTTTAAACCTGTTTTAATGCTTGAAGGCTTGAAACAGTATTCCAAACATATGTTCACATTTTCCATCCTCCACTATTCATCACCAAAAAGTTTTCAAGTGTGCTACAAAAATATAAATTAAACAAATAAACGCTCTTCCTGTTCATTGTTTCAACAGTCAGTCATGTATGGTGAAGGTCTAATCACTACTGACTGCCGCTGTTTATTTTTCTTTGCAAAGAAGACAAACAATACATTTCACTGAGGATGACAAAATAACGTTACTAACACTGATATATTTTACCTCTACAATAGAATTATTGTTCTGGATAAAGTTTTACAAGACAATAGCCTACGCTAGGTTATCTAAATGTTAGCTTGCTAACTTGAAAGGCATGTAGCTAATGACAAGCAGGTTGGAGGATTGAAGAGAATTTATTATTGATTTTTATTTTATTTTATAGATCGGTTACATTAAACTTGCTGTGCTCTGTTCAGTAAAATACACTACAAAGTATTGCTCGCTGCTTCGGCTGTGATGAAAGTGAAAGTTAAAGTGAACATGAGCCCTCTGCTGGATACATTGTACAATTACACCATTTGCATGTAAGGACACGGCTCATTCCTAATGTTTATATCAGTACATAACGGGCCAATTATTACTGATGCCGATATGTCCCCAAATGCTTATATCGACCTAAAGTATTGCCCCCTATCAATATATCAGTTGGCCTCTAGTTTAAATGACACATAAGGCCAGCATTTCACTGGACTGCCACTGTTAGCAAGTTTAAATAAGAAAACAAAATGTATGGAAATCTTCCAGTTTTCTGGTATAATCTCACTGAATTCTGAGTGTTTGCAACAAAGTAACCAGAGAGCTGTGACCAAGTTTTATGGGGCCAGTTTTGAAAATCACAGCCTATTTCATGTGCACGACTCACAGAACTCCTTTCTAGGCCGAGCGCAGTATTTAATGCCCAACTCTTCCCACTTTGTAACCACCCTGGCATGATTTTTATCACTGTCAACACACCTCTAGGCCATATTTAGTCTGATGTTTCTCTAGACGTCTGTTCAACCCATATGGGGCCTCACACACCTGCATAGAGCTCTGGCCTGAGTAAATATAAATATAAGAGCAGCTAAAAGGAACCGTTGATCACGTTTATGAGTTTGTGCAACACTTACATGGCTATTGATTTAGTACTACAGTTACATCATATTACTGCAGTTTTAAGCTCAACTAGCAGCAGCAGCTAGCTATAGCACTTCTGGTGCAGCTTGAGGTACTTCCAGCAGGAATACTGTCTTTCTTCCAGAATGTCTGAAGAATACAGAACTGACAACAATGTAAAAGTTTATAAAACAGAATTTACATAATTATCCATAAATGTTTGATTGAAGTTGTTTCAAGATGGCAGCCATCCACATTGGTCGGCCCAGAACAGACTAGATGTTACCTCAACAATCTGGTCGTAATAAACTTGTGTTTATTTCCTGGACGTTTACCGTCTGCTGCTGCAGCTCTCTGATGGTGTCCTGGGCCTTCTGCAGGCTCTCACTGGCTGCGTTGCACTGCTGCCTCACCACTGCCAGCTCCCGCTTGATGACATAGTTCTCCTCTGCTTCCTGTGCTCTTGTCACCTGACCCTGCAGCAGAGTCAGAGCAGCATCGATGTTAGGATCACTACTCGAGTTTTAACTTGAAACACACAAAAATCATGGGGTACGTAAAAAAAGGAATGGGGAGCACAAGGGAGTGTTTAATGTTACACAGCAGGTGCTTTAAGGTTTAAAAGGGAACAGTAAAAAGTTTATACTTTGTTGCAGACATGTGAGACAGAGAAATCAATGACACTTAAATCTACAGTTCAAACATGAAGTTATTGAGACAGGAGGCCAGAGCTTGCTCAAAAAATGAAGAGAATAAAACAAACTCTTTGCATAGAACAATCAAACAAATGACATTCCTCAGATTCAGACGTGTTCTTTTACATTTTCAGTGATTCTGTCGTCTTTAGGCAGAGACACACTGTCTGTCTCCATATCCTCAGGATTAAAGACAAACTGAATGAACTCCTCACGAAACATTAATTAGATCAAACCCAGTTCAAGATGGTCACTACAGCTCATTCCATCCATCCATCAATACACATCCACCTATCTGTCCACCCGCATCCGCCCGTCTGTACACCCGCATCCACCCGTTTGTCCACCCGCATCCACCCATCCACCCGCATCCACCTGCATCCACCCGGCCATCCAGCCGCATCCACTCGTCCACCCGGCCGTCCAGCTGCATCCCCCCATGCACTCGTCTGTCCACCTGCATCCACCCGCATCCACCCGTCCATCCACCTGCATCCACCTGTCTGTCCATCTGTGTCCACCCGCATCCACCCGTATACCCGTCCGTCCAGCCGAATCTACCCGTCCGTCCAGCCGCAACCCCCCATGCACTCGTCCATCCACCCGCATCCACCCGTCCGTCCACCCTCATCCACCCGTCCGTCCACCCGCATCTACCCGTACGTCCACCCGCATCCACCCCTCCGCCCACCCGCATCCACCCGTATACCCGTCCATCCAGCCGAATCCACTCGTCTGTCCAGCCGCATCCACCCGTATCCACCTGTCCAGCCGCATCCACCCGTCCACCCAGCCGCATCCACCTGTCCACCGTTCGTCCAGCCGCATCCACCCATCCGTCCAGCCGCATTCACCCGCCCGTCCACCCACATCCGCCTGTCCACCCGCATCCGCCCGTCCACCCGCATCCGCCCTTCCACCCACATCTGCCCGTCCACCCGCATCCACCCCTCCGTCCACCTGCAGCCACCCCTCCGTCCACCTGCAGCCACCCCTCTGTCCACCCGTCCGTCCACCCGCATCCATCCGTCCATATCTTGACACATCATATGAAATTGTGCATATTATTTACAAGGTTTGACGAAAATGGCTACAACAGCATCATTTTTTATCATACAATGATCTTTGCCTAAATCTCTGGCATGAAATGCGGCGGGCGATATGCATTTCTTCAATCCATGTTAAGCTTATCGTCAAAGACTGAATTGGTCTGCAGGCAGCAAGAACATTTTAAGAACACAAAACTGACTGATGTAAATACACCCCTACATTTATTAAATACTTTGATAGACTGAATGTATCTAAAATAAAAACAGCAGTATTAATGACAAAACTGGAAAACATTCCACATGCAGGGATGATAAAAAACTCATGTAAGCAGTAATTGCTAACAACACTGCATGCAGTGGGGAATAAAACTGTCCTCTTGAGGAGTGAAAAGTTCAAAAACACAAAAGTCATTCATGCAGTTTAGTGAGGTTTGGGGAAAGGGAGGTGAGAGAAGATACAGAGGTCACCAACATCAGTGGGAAAAATGGTTCTCAGTACTCTACCTGTATCAGTCTGTCTGCCAGAGCGGCACTCTCCTACAGCACCATCAAAGAGGGGAAAAGGAGGTGAAAATTTAGAAAAAAGGGATAGGGGAAAAACAGACAGCAGAGAGGACAAACCACGAGAAAACCCAGAAGGACATGTAAAGAAAATAAGAGAAGACAGTGTGCAAGACGAGTTGAAGAAACAAATGTAGGGAAACGTTTGAGAAAGAAAAAGAGGCAGCAGTAAGGTCATTCTGAGAAAAAAAATCCATCACAGAAGAGATTTAAACATGAAGTCTTTAATAGTAGAGCACTGGGAGAGAAGAAAACTTACACACTCACAAGAACAAACGTGTCACAGAAACTAAACAACACCAAAAAACAAAAAGGTTCAATCAGGTCTTCTGGATAAGTTTCTTTAGGGCAGAAACGTTTCATCTTTCATCCGATAGACATCATCAGTCTGAGGCCTGTCAACTAGATCTGACCCATAAACAGCCTTCATTGCTGTTTCAAGCCAGCCTCCTGTTGAATACCCAGAGACACATGCAAACAGGGCCCATCCATTCTGTGAGAAGCAAGTCGGCCATCTGGCCTAAAAGATTTGACTGTTGTACATGATGATTGATTGTTTTGGACAAATGGTTCCCGTTTCCATCCATACATCCATTTTCTTCTGCTTATCCAGGGTCAGGTCATAGGGGTAGCAGCCTCCAGACTTCCGTCTCCCAAGCCACTTGGTCCAGCTCCTCCAGGGGAATCCCGAGGCATTCCCAGGCCAGCCGAGAAACATAGTCCCTCCAGCGTGTCCTGAGTCTTCCTCTGGGTCTCCTCCTGGTGGTTGTGTCTGGAACACCTCACCAGGGAAACATCCAGGAGGCATCCTAAGCAAATGCCCGAGCCACATCAACTGGCTCCTCTCGACATGAAGAAGCAGCAGTTCTACTCTGAGTCCCTCCTGGATGACCGAGCTTCTCATCCTATCTCGTAAGCCCCCAGTATACTGCCGCGTACGTCCGTTCTCGCGTACGTACACGTGTACTGTATGCAGAGGGTTCAGACTTCGTACTCGAGCGTACACCCTGAGCAGCTGCAGAGCAGCTTCACAGACAAGGGGCGTTTACCTCCGGGACAAATTGAGGTCGCTGATTGGTCATTTGTTGACACACCTACTGGATTGATTGATAGGTTGGGGAAAAAAAAAAGCACTGGCAGCCTCAGCCACAGCGGTGTTCTGTGTTTATATGCTGTTAATAAAAAGATTTAAAAAAAAAAAACAGGGAGCGCTAGCGCTGTAGCCCACACATCAGACCAGCCCACCAGGAAATCTCCAGACCCTCCCGCAGCCATGCTGGACCTGAGTTTAATTAGCTCGTGACAAATTCCTTCATTTCTCGCCATTTCAGTCATGGCATCAATGGAGGAGGAAGAGATCACTGCCTCTTGGCAAAAAAACTAAAGAAAAGGCCAGATCAGGGATGAAGAAGGGGAATTTAATACATTGGTGTCACATACAAAACAGTCCGTCGCTGGGCAGTTTATTGTGCGACACCGCGTACACATATGCGGTCGTAAAAATTTGAGCTTTGCACAAACATGCCCTGGGGGGTACGCTCGCACTTCTGCGTACGTTCGTGTGTACCTCTGCGTAAGGACGTACGCGGCAGTATACTGGGGGCTTTAGGGAGAGCCCAGATACTGTGAGGAGAAAACTCATTTCGGCCGCTTGTATCCGTGATCTTGTTCCTTCCGTCACAACCCAAACTCATGACCATAGATGAGGGTAAGAGCGTAGATCGACCGGTAAATTTAGAGCTTGACCTTTTGACTCAGCTCTCTCTTCACTACAATAGACCTGTACAACGCCCGTTTCACTGCAGATGCCACACCTATCCGCTTATCAATCTCTCGCTCCACTTTTCCCTCATTCGTGAACAAGACCCTGAGATACTTGAACTCCTCCACTTGGGGCAGGACCTCCTCCCCGGCCTAGAGAGGGCACTCTACCCTTTTCCGGCTCAAGACCATGGCCTTGGATTTGGAGGAACTGATCCTCATCCGGGTCGCTTAACACGCGGCTGCGAACCGCTCCAGTGAAAGCTGCAGATCACGACTTGATGAAGCCAATAGGACCACATCATCTGCAAAAAGCAGAGACGTAATACAAAAACTGATTCCCTCGGCACCTTGGCTGCGCTTAGAAATTCTGTCCCTAAAGTTATGAACAGAATTGGTGACAAAGGACATAACTTGGCAGAGTCCAACTCTCACCAGGAATGAGCCCGACACTGCTGGTAATGCGGACCAAGCTCTGACACCTGTTTGCATGTGTCTCTGGGTATTCAACAGGAGGCTGGCCTGAAACAGCAATGAAGGCTGTTTATGGGTCAGATCTAGTTGGCAGGCCTCAGACCGATGAAGTCTAATGGATGAAAGGTCGAAACATTTCTCCCTTAAAGAAACTTATCCAGATGACATGATTGAACCTTTTTTGTTTTTATCTACATGGATGATTGAGCCTACAAACAACAAACTACGCTCACAGCTTAAAGAATTACAGCCATGAACTGCAACTTTTTTGAAGAACGTTTGAAGAGTGCCAAATCAACAATTGTACCAACATTTATCAATTTTCTTCCATAATACCCCAAAATCTCTTTGTAATAATATAAATTAATGTTTTGATGTAGAAACCGTAAAAGAAGGAAACCAAGGTCAAAAGAAATGCTACAGCTGCTGCCAGTGGCTCATTAGCATCACCATGGTAACCACACAGCAGCGTGTGTTACTCCCTGACAACAGAGAGAAACGCACAGTAGAAGTTAAGCCTCAGCCAATCAGTCACTGTGAGGATAGTTGAGTGGAAAAACATCCTGAACTATCCACAATGGAGACACCAGTCAATCTTTATGTTTGTACATCATTTTATGTAGGACATTTGATAAGTACTGTAGCTTAGCTATAAAGCTCCATAGCCAACTTCCCACTTCTTTAACTGATATAATTATATGGTGTACGTGGGAATTTGAAGCCTTGTTTTAGTAAAATACATCATTTTATGTCCTGCCATGAAACTTTATGGCATTTTGTCTCAGTGATTCTGGTGATTTAAATTAACATTATGGACACGTAAACAGGTTTTCTTACCTTCTCCAGAGTTTCAATCCTCTGCTTTAGCAGCCTGTTTTCTGTGCGTAACCTCTGAACAAAGGTAGAAATATGCTCAGCAGTTAACTAACAAAATGTTTTGAATCATAACACAGAGTCAAGCGTAAATGTGAAACAGACGCACCTTAATCTCAATTTGCTCCTCCATTTCTTTGTTTTTGATCGTGGTGTATTCTTTCTCAAGTCTAGATTGAAAAATAAAAAATAACAGTAAATTATTATACAATTTTCCCTCAACATGTAAAGAATTATTAAGAAAAAGACTAATTTCCACCCAATATTACTTTGATTAGTTCATTGAGTTTTTATTTAAATGATGTACCTTCAAAAGGAAACATCAATGACAGGAACACACTTTGTCTTTACCAAAAAGACACTCAGCACCAGATATGAGTTTTATCTGTGCAAAAGCCCAAGTGTTGCATAAAATCCATTTAGCCTTCAGTCCCAAAGATGGCAAAATAATATGTGCTCTTACTTCTTCATCTTCTTGGAGTTGTATTTGACCTGGTAGGCTCTGAGGATCAGCTTGTCTGGGCAGCTGTCAAATTGGTGGGGGATGACCTTTTGGAAATGCTGGCAGACCCATAAAGAAAACATCCTGAATATCTGATAACGTAGCAGGCAGGAATATTTACACAATAGGAGAACAGCAGTGCATCTACTTGTGGAAATAAACTCTGTTCTACATTTAAGGTATCAAAACCTGAGCCTGACCGATATATCAGTGGGGGCCGATATTTTAGGTCGATATAGACGTTTGGGGACATATCGGTATCAGTCATAACTGGTTCATTATGTGTTGAGATGAATACTTCTAATTGTCACCCCTAAAATGCTGGGAACCAGTCATATTTGTACAAAGTATCCAGCAGAGGGCGCATGATTTGCAACTGGGTACTAGACTTTTTAACAAACAGACCACAGTTAGTGAGGATCCACAACCTCTCCTCCTCCACCATAACCCTCAGCACTGGCTCTCCTCAGGGATGTGTGTTGAGCCCCCTCCTGTTTACTCTGCTCACATATGATTGTGCAGCTACCCATCCAGGCTGTCGCATTGTAAAGTTTGCAGATGATACAGCGGTGGTGGGATGCATCACAAACAATGATGAGTCCAGCTACAGGCAAGAGGTGGAACACCCGGAGAGCTGGTGCAGAGAGAATAACCTTCACATCAATGTGAAGAAGACAAAGGAGATGATTGTGGACTTCAGAAGGAACAAAAACATCTACACCCCCCTGAACATAAGAGGATCTGCGGTGGAAGTGGTCTCCAGCTACAAGTACTTGGGTGTACACATGAATGACAACCTCAGCTGGAGCAACAACACCACCAGCCTGATCAAGAAAGCTCATCAGAGCCTCTACTTCCTCAGACGGCTGAGGCGAGCTGGTCTGGGAAGCTCAGTCCTCACCTCCTTCTACAGGTGTGCAGTGGAGAGCATCCTGTGCTCCAGCATCAATGTGTGGCATGGAGGCTGCACAGCTGCAGAAAGAAAAGCTTTGCAGAGAGTGGTGAAGGCTGCACAGAAATCTGTCGGAATCAACCTCCCCGCCATCACAGACATCTACACCTCCAGATGCAGGAAGAGGGTCACCTGCATCATGAAGGACCCCACTCACCCAGCACACACACTTTTTGCCCCACTCCCCTCAGGAAGGAGGTTAAGGAGCATTAAGTGTAGAACCACTAGACTGAGGAACAGCTTCTACCCTGAGGCTGTTAGACTCATGAATCTCTAACTAGAATAATCACTGTGAAAAACCATATCATGTTGCTGCTGATCTGTTTCATGTTGCTGCTGATCTGTTTCAATGTTGATGTGTTCATGCGTGCTCATCTGCTCACAGACTCATGTTCTTGTTTGTGCTGATGTTCAATGTTTTATGTTATGAGTGCTTAGTGTATATTTAGTTGATGTTTTTCTTAGTTCATATCTTAGATGTTATTACTGTTTTTCTTATACATTTTATTGTTGGATGTAAATGGGACCTTGTGTACATAATTTCGCTCAGGGGTGGACTGGGACAATAATCCAGGCCGGGAATTTTGATACCATCCCAGGCCACCACCACCTGATTAACGCAAACCACCAAGACTGAGTTCAATTGAGCGCACTTTGAATGCATGTTGTTTGCACACGTCTAACTGAATACCTACATAAATCTTTCTTCTGTGGTGCAATAATCCGTCCTCAAATCACATAAACTGAAATTATGTTGCCCTATATTTTGCTATGCATAAGCCCTTTTAAAATCACTAGGAATATGACAGTCAATCATAGTTTCATACAACAAATGAGAGATCGTGTTGTACTACAGATGTGTTGTTTATTCTCCATAAAATCAAACACATTTTAAACATTAAACACATTTTTACTCACTTTTGTAAAAAAAAAAGATAAAAAACCTTATAAGAACCACCAAAGTTCATGCTCAATAATCCAGGTATAAACTCCAACAATGTTCATGCAGGTCATCTGGATGATTTCTTTTTTTTTTTTTTTGTGCAGAGATGTTTTGCCCTCCATCCAGAAGGCTTCATCAGTCTGAGGAAACACTAAACAAAACTGGTTAACTGTTATTTTTTCCACTTTGGAGTAGGCTTTTGGGGGAGAATCAGTTTTGTTTAGTGTTTCCTCAGACTGATGAAGCCTTCTGGATGGAGGGCAAAACATCTCAGCACACAAAAAAGAAACCGTCCAGATGACCTGAATGAACATTGTTGGACTTATAAGAACCAGTTTCCACCACTACTACTAGTACAGCAGCAGGCGGCGCAGGCGATCACTGCTCTCAGCTATTCTATCAATAATATCCTCTTTGTCCATTTCCATCAGAACCTCTTTCTCTGTTGCCATCAAAAGAAATGCTTCAAGGTTCTCTTGACTGAGGGAGGTTCTTAGGCGGTTCTTGACCAACTTCAGGGTGGAGAAGGTCCTCTCACAGGCAACCTGAGTGATGGATAGTGTTAAGAGGAACTTGTAGCCCAAACCAATGATATGATATGCATCAGTGACTTAGCACTTAGCAGCATCCGCGGCCAGAGCTTTTCTCTTTTTTATCCTCTCTCTCTCTGCTCCACCTTTCCTCTTCTTTGGCTGTCTCTGTTGCTCCATTCTACAACTCAGAGATGCACGCACCGCGCGCCAACACCGTCGGGAGCGCGAGTCCTAGGGCGGGGAGGGGGGCGGGCGCAATGTGTGTGTGTGTGTGTGTCTCTGCTCTGTGACACACAGAAAAGGAAGGGAGGGGGCCGGCCCGGCCGGGGGATGTGCCAGGCTTTCTCCGTCGCTGCAGTGCAGCGTGAGACCTGAGCCCAGGCAAAAGTGAATTGTTTATTTAAAATAATAAAGTCCGTGCGACCCGAACCGAGCCTTTAGTCCCGTTCCTCGGCAACCAGGCCACCGGGAAGTGTCCCGTCGTGCCCGACGGTGAATCCGCCACTGATTTCGCTCCACCACATGTACCACATGAGGTGCGAATGACAATAAAGAAACTCTGACTCTGACTCTGATGAAGACTTTCACGTCATGGCCCTTCACTTTAACTTTCACTTTCATCACAGCCGAAGCAGCGAGCAATACTGTGTCGAGCATTTTGCTGAACAGAGTATGGTGAGCTTATTTAACTGATCTGTAAAATAAATACATCGACAATAATAAATTCTCTTCAATCCTCCAACCTACTTGTCATTAGCTACGTGCCTCTCAAGTTAGCAAGCTAACGTTTTGATAACCTACACTATTGTCTTGTAAAACTTTATCCAGAACAATAAATCTAACGTAGCAGTAAATATATATCAGTGTTAGTAATGTTTTCTTTTTTGTCCTCAATGAAATCCATTGTTTGTCTGAAATCTTCTCTGTAAAGAAAAATAAACTGCTGTGGTCAATACTAACTAGACCTTCGCCATACGCACCTGACTGTTGAAACAATGAACAGGGAAAAGCTGTTTCTTTGTTTAATTTATATTTCTGTAACACACTTGATAACTTTATGGTGAATAGTGGAGGATAGAAAATGTGAACGCACGTTAGGAAGACTGTTTCAAGACTTCAAGCGTTAAAACAGGTTTAAAAGTAGCTGTTTACTGAGATTCTTGGGGGTGGACAAAGGTAAAAAATTGTCACCCATTATGTCAGTTATCAGCATTAGCCTTCCTCTCCCAATATTGGTATCGGTGATAGCCAACATTCCCACATCGGTCAGGCTCTAATCAAAACTCTTTATATAAAAAACCTCATACATATTAAAAACATTTACATAACACATAATATTATGCATTTGTAGAAAATAAACAATTGAAAGAATATCCTCAAAAAGTGATGATTCCATTAGTTTTGGCCAGTTGTTTATCATCGTCAGCTTGTCGGGCTCTCAACATGAATTTGTACAAAGAGCAGAATAAGAGATGAAGTAATATTCTGAGCAACGGGCACGGTTACTTTAGAATCATAAACAGATGGATTTGACACTCGTGTGTTTCTTGTGGAGCGGGTAAAGAAAAGCAGCAGTTTTGTTTCTGGTGCAGAACGCTCAGCCTTTTAAAGGGGAAACTTCAGCTCCTAGTGAACAGGACATTCACGGTGACTTATGTCTTTTATGTCCTTTACAATATGTTGATTTTTAAAAAAAATCATGTTTTAAAACAGCCCGCTGAATGAGTTTAACTGTTTAGATGCATTTTTTCATCAAATTAGATCTTAACTTGCTGTTCAGGAAGTTTGAGTGTAGAGGGGGGATGTAGGGCGTTCAGTCTCGTGGCTGAATCTATACATTAAAGTATTTTCAGCAGAAAGTGGCACACAGCTACAGCAGCTGCTTACCTGTGACATTCCCTCCATGTCGAGCTGAATAAGGTCAGTCTGGTTGTACTGCAGGATGGCCAGGCCCACACGGAAGATAATCTCTAGACCCTGAGGAGACGTTGTACATATCACATGTTCTTTATAACAAATCAAAGTACATGTCATCGATTCATGAAACGTGTCCTACCTCATACATGAATATGTCAAAGATGCGCGTGGCAACAGGTAGAGGGAGGAAGGTGAGGAACAGGGTGAGGAACCAGGACGAGGCGTACATGGATGTGTGGAAACTCTGGGAGCGGAAATGGACGTTCAGCTCTGGAAGTTGCTCCTGAGGTGACAAACAGCAAAACTTAAAGCCTCAAATAAAAAAATAAAAACAGACCTAACAGGATTATCAGAAAGGGAAGTGATTTGTTGAAGATAAATATTAACATTTTGCTGCAGCCTTGTGGACAAGTATTGTACTACAAATGTACTTTTTACCTGTAGCAGATACTCAAACTGGTAAATGCAGAGGCCCAGCTCTGCCATGCTGGGTTTGAACAGTTCCCTTAGTCGGTACTCCTGCATAAGACGCACAAAAACACAAAACGCCTCCTCCTCTGGCATCTGAGTGGAGGCAAGAGGCATAAGTAAGACATGTCATTAGTTTTAGACAAATATTGCAGAACAGTTAAAAAAATAAACCTTATGAGAATGATTTCTACTCTGAGGACAAAAAAGGGTCATCAGTATTAAAGTCAGCACCAACACCCCCCCCCCCCCCCCTCCAAAAAAAGCAAGGATAAATACCTGCATTAGAAGAAGGCCAACGATGAATGCACTGCCTTGGCAGTAGCCCACCTCTCGATCCACCAGCGAGTACGCCTGGAACACAAACACTGCTGCGTTGTGTATTTGTTAGGAAACAACCGCTGTAATCCTGACACACTCACAATGTGGAGAACAGATGAAGCGAGCAGACGTTCCTTCATTTCCTGAGCAGCTCAACTACCAGAGACCACTGCAAACAGTCAACAAGCTGGTTTCCATGACTGTTAACAGAGAACAGGTCTGCTGTGTCTCAGCAGCCTTGTTTGAGGAGTTAAATCTAATGATAGACTGAGGATAATGACAGCCACCATATTTTAGGTCAGTGAAAGTCGAACAGCTTCACAATGATGCCGTGGCCCCTCCTCAACTACTCTGGATAGTTTTGAAGTAAATAAAAAAAGTTTTTTTTTTTTTTCTGCTCCATGTTTTCAGTGACAAAAAGATTTCTAAAAATAATTTTCAAAGTAAAAATACTTAAAAAAACGATATAAAGAATCCATGTCAGTTTGAGATTTTGGGATAAATAAAAAAATCATGATGTAGCAGCCTTGTTGTTGGCCCACTATCACTGCATTTCTCTTT